AAAACACACACACACACAAACAAAAAAAGAAACAAAAAAATCCAGGATCCGCCCCTGGACAGGTCAGGATGTTCTGAACCTCAATCCCAAAATACTCATTGCTTAAGGAGTTTGATTTACAACGTTTTTTCTTCTTTTTTGATCAATTCATCTATGAAAATTGTGGTTGATACCAGCCACTGGATAAACAAAGCTGTTCTGTGTATACTGTATAGCACCTTACCGATCTATCATCACCTACGAGTAATTGCCTTTTTGTTGTTTAAGTGTAAAATCTTATAGCTTCTTTTACTGATCTCCTCTTATTATTGCAACAATAATAGTGCTGCTATAGGTGTGGTTATTGTGAGCACACTGTTAAAGATGGGATTAGTTTACACATACTTTGAGTAATTTACAAAGAAAAGAAAAAGATATTCACCAAAAATATAGAAGTGAATTGAACAATGCACATGGCATCAATATATATACATACACATATATATATATATATATATATATATATGTAAATACGGTGATATAAACTTGCGAAATGGCCATTATTCATGTTAAATAATGGTTTCTAAGACAAGGAATGTGATTGGTTGAAACGGTGGCTCATGAATAATTCACGGTAGTTCAAGTCGTCGCTAAAGAGGATCACAAAATACCACGTGTGGACTGTATTGGGCCTTTTTTCCTTCATTTTTAACCTCTACGGTAAGAATATACCTTAGCTAAACTCTACATTAATGTGTGAACTATTGATATCCCACAGGTTAAGTCTTGCTTACTCAATAAATATCGAAAAACATCGAAAAATTGTATTTCTAAAAAGCACAACAATACAGCATCAATGAAATCACTTATTCATTTGCATTTTCCTTTTGAAATACTCTTTATTTTCAAAACACTAAGCTTTTTACGTAGAGTGGACTTAGATTTTGATATGTTTTGAAATTATAATGGTTTTATTTGAATGTTCTTAAGTGAAAAATAGTTTCTTTTCGTAGATTAAAGATGGCCTTGTTTGATACGTGGCGCTCACAAATCTATTTTAACTCTCATTAATCAAACAGGTTTATCGCTTTTCAAAGTCAATACAACTGTTATGACGGGTAGTTCGTGGTTATAGCACGTTTTTTAACGTTTTTCTAGGTAAAGCGAAAGTAATAATAATGTGAGTGAAAGAGTTTTTCTTTACTAATGGTTTTAACCACGTGGCAATGGTTGTGCTTCAACTGATGGCCGTCGGCGGGAAAGCAATTCAAATGTTTAAATCAATTAATTCCTCCAAAATCACAAGTTACTTATTCTAATTTAAAATCGTGAATTAAACTAGTATTATTTAATATCTTTCTTAACAGCAGATAAGGTTTTGTACATGAGGACTAATATAAAGAATAGTCAGCAAGATTCTTTTGTAGTATAACACAACAGCGAACTACGTTATGGAAAATCATAACAATACGTTATTAACACTTAATAGGACAAAATATATTCCTTTTGGTGTTTATTTTAATATAAATATAGTATTTAGGATGAGATATATATGGATGAAGTGAAAAGAGTATATGATCGCATGACAGAATATTCAAGAGATCAACTAAAATGGCTATGTTTACCTTTATATCTATTGGCATTCATTCAATGGGTTTGGCATGTACTTAAATTCTAGCATTTGCATACATACAGCATTGTACTGTGAGATGTATCGTTTACTTCCTAGAAAGGGGTCGAGTAATGGTCAAAACGTATGATAGGAATGTCTGATCTACGCTGATGTCCTGTTTTGATCATAGCCGCGATCTATGTCTATCTGTTCTTGGAAATATGGTACTGTTAGAGAGAAAAAGAGTACTTTAGCTTGGAAAAACGCTATAGAACAGTCAATAATCATGATGAAAGCACTAACAGTATTAAAAAGATGGTCTCTATCATAGTAACGATAGATTAAGCTGGGAATTTTTTGGTGAACTACGTCTTCTCGTCAAAACAAAACCCACGTATACATACTTCAAAAAACATTCTTCCCTATCTGTTCGAAATACAATTAAATTTTTAATATTATTGACAAAAATCACAAACAAAATAGAAATAAAACTAATATGATATAAATATTATAAATATAAATATTAGTATTGAACTGATAAAAAAGCCAGGAGATGAATTACTTCCGTAACTGGCCTTGTACCATAGTAGCCAGTGGAACTCGTTTTACTATTCTTTGTTATTCTCATTATTCATTCATTTCGTTTTCAATGATAACGTACCAGTCATATTGTACGTCTTGTAGGCGTTTTAACATATCGAAATAGAAAACAAAACAAAGAAAATTCCCGTTGACGATCCCAATCATTGATAGGTTCAAACGATTCACATTGTTGATAAAGGAAGTTTGTCTATATGTTAAAGCGTTCTAACACGGTGTATGGAAGAGATCCAAGTATAGGATTATTACGACGCTGAAGAACAAACCCGCACTGACCAGCTCTTTTATCAAATTTTCTGTCTCGAGATTTCGTTAATTTTAGTGAGTGAAAACTAGTTTTCTATTGTTCTTGTCGTCATTGAATGCATTTTATCTTAGTTATATTTCATTTATCTATTTCTTTAATCTTATATTCCTCCATTAATTTTAATATCATTTACTGGCAGCGCATGTGTAGACTCTCAGTTTGGTTTACTAGCTATACCTAATGCTCATTATATAAGTAGTGATTTGCATTTCAAATATATATACGATAACGTATGCAAAAACATTAGTGATTCATCCCAATCCAGCAGAACTGAAATCAATTTATTGTTGTATGGTTTGCAGAAAACAGATAAATACCACAATACTTTTCTGTGTCAAATCGAGGTCTTGAAAATGACTAAAGATAGTTACGACGAAGAGAAAAGAATTACCTTCAACGAAGCAGCCGAAGCGTTGAACCCAAATGGTGATAATGGTGATGACTACGATGCGAATGGTATCGAAATAGAGTTGTATGAAGGAGAAGAAAGACCCAAGTGGGGTAACAAGATAGAGTTTATTCTCGCTACTGTAGGTTTTGCTGTGGGACTTGGCAATGTATGGCGTTTCCCGTACCTGTGTCAGAAGAATGGAGGAGGTAAGATTGATACGTAATAGTCCGGCACAACTCGGTATATTTTGATCACAATGTAATGTTTTGATCATAACGTAATCGTAGTTAGCCCTGCTACTGAAATAAGCTCCTTTACTCTTTTAGTATCATCATTCTTGTACTTGGACTGGTTCATTCCTAAGTAGACAAATGTTAAAAAGACTTTGACTTTTATATTTTGTCCGCGTATATCGTCGTTCAAATATACCCTTGTTTTCGTCAAGTTTCGTAATAAAAACACTGGTGTCGCGATGGTAGACACTATGGTAGGTACGACGTTCGTAGTATACTTGCCTTATTTGGAGTACTACACGATCAGAACGGTAAAAAAAAAAAACAATTGTCTCTATATCATATGTTTTAGTAGATCTAATACTTCAACTTCAACGCTGTATATTACGATGGATTATTAGGAAACAATACATTCAATTCACGTGTCTTAGGTGTAACCATCTAGTTGTGTTGTGTATATACGAGTATGACTTGTGTGTGTGTTTCCTCTCGTATGTGCCTCAGTAGCTAGGTATAAATGGAACCCAGAGTTCAGTATATGAGAAATATCAGTGAGAATTTAGTAGGTTCGATCCGAATGACTGGTTTTCTTTACCCCATCAACAACACATGAACAACAATACGCTTCGCTCACCATTATATCATTTATGGATGTTACTTTATGTATTTTCTGCCTTCAAATAGATAGATATTCTACATAAGTCAGTCTGAGAACTAGAGCAATAACCAACTCTTAGTGTTTTTTTCGTCTCTTTTTCCTCTTTGTTCCGTGTTGGCTGGTTAAATAAACGACATGAAACGACTTCTACTTTAGTTGCGATGAATTTTTAAAATTCAATATTTCAAAAACGTCACAAAAATCTTTTTATCAAGAAGTATTATTTGCTACGTTTGTCAAAAAAATGAGACTTCCACGGTAAACAGTTGTATATGGGAATAAATGCACGTTATTCGTCGTTTATCGTCGTCTTGTGTGTCTGATGTGGACTCGTCATTGCTTCCCGCTATGAATCCAGTCTATTCTATGGTTCTACACTACATTGCTTATATATTTTTAACGTTTCTCTTCAACATAGGACATAGCCCATGTTTTATCAGTAAAGTAAAGTAATTTCTGTTAAATCGATTCATGGTCTGGAATATTCTCCAAGCAACCAGTCATCGCTATTTGTATTAATTTTACGTTCTTCTTGTTTTACTTATGCTTTCTTTCTTTCTTTCTTTCTTTCTTTCTTTCTTCGCTATAAAGAGTATAAACGTGCTGCTAACGACAAAACGTAGTTTAGTTTATTGTCTATACGGGTTGTTTTGGGAAATTATCTTCCACGTCGATCCTTTCAGGTTTGTTGTCGTCCTTTACGCGTCGCACATGGTCACATGGTATTATATTTAGCTTTGTTTACATCATGTGACTATACGCTAATGGCGCCAAACAGGTTTTTGGCGGGGTTTTTTTCTGCGCATGAGCAGTGAACCGAATGCGTTGAAGCGCAAAACAAGTGAAACCGGCTAATGTCGTTATGGACTTTAATTTCTTTTTTCCTTGTCGAGTAAATTTGTAAATAATAGCTTAATTATTGCTGAATTACGGAGGTAGATAACAAGATTTATAACATCAGGCTGGGTTGAATAATATATACGGCGGGTGTTTATGGTATATCATGTGACATCAGTTACTAGTATTGATGGTTTTCAACCATTCCCAAGAGAATGAAATAACAAAAGACACGGTGGCCATGTTGGAGGATATAACAAAAGAATTCATTTACAATTCTTTTGTTAAATTCCTCCTACATTGCCGCCGTGAAAACCATCAATTATCGATTATGGCATTAGGCGGACTATTAGAGTTAACTGAGCTCTGTGTATCTATCATAATAGAAATAAAGAATAAACTAGAATAATAGATAGTGGTTGATGACATGGATGGAATCTGCCTTAATCGAATCAAATTTATTACTCCATGGTGGACGAAAACAGTTTTTACAATACATAGAATTAAAATTTAGAAAATGATTTTGTGGAGGGAGGACAGACCAGAGAAGAAATGGTTGAAGTACAGAAGGAACCAACTGTAGTGAGTGAGATGAGTCTCCATAAAGTGCATCAGTGGATCGTGCTGTGAAGTTCCAGTGGAATTACTTTACTATTAATGTTTTATTTGGTTACGAGTGTAAAGTGTGTGTTTTACCAATTGATACTTATGAAATATTCACGTGTTTATAATCGTCCGTGTTGTTATCTACGCCTAAACTCATCTGCATGGCTTAGTCCTAACAATTCTTTCAATGCCTATACTGATCGAGTGCCCTAAAACGGACCAAGTTTCACACCATAACAGACGACTTCCTTCTGCTTGACTGGATCTTATTTTATATAGTTCTTGGTCTTTATAGACCCACTATAGATGCCTACCACTGTGATACGATATGGTCTTGAACTACAACAAAAGCAATGGAAACCAATAGAAACTGAAATTGGAACACGTGCGTCACGGATCACGTCACTATCATGTATTATTAACTACTAAACCCCCAAGAATTACTCATTCCTTAGATTAAAAAAAGAAAATACCATTGACCGTGACCATATCGTCCACATCAGTCGGCGACACTCAATACTTGCAGTTAGTAATGTCAGTGTAACATTTGTTGTCGGGGTTCCTGTGTAAGTCTAAGAAGAGGGGAGATTAGGACTAAGGAAGTCGTAAATATCTCATCGGAAATGTAAAAATAGAGAACGGTTTCGTTTCGTTAACCTGATGATCTTGATCCGTTATACAGCATTAGCAGTTTCGATTACTCAAAAGTAGTCTTGATGATGTGTAAGATGAAAACCAGGTGCCTATTACTGGTTGGTTTTGGTACGACAGGGTACATCAGGGTACATCAGGGGCGGATCTAGGGGGGAGGGGAGGGGGCTTTTCCGAACCTCATAGAAATAACCATGAAACCCCTAAACAACAACTACAGCCCCCCTCCCCCCTCCCCCCTATGAAATTAGATCATCTTGGTTTAATCGAGCCCCCTAGATGACGAGCATGAACCCCCCCCCACCGCAAGACCATGCAACAGTCTTACCGAAGACTCCTCTCATTCAACACTCATCATATGATGCTGGGTTTAAACCCTTTACTGTGTGATATCAGTCACTACTAACAACAGTCTTATCAAAGACTACTCACTCTTATTCAAACCCTCAGTTCTTTTCAGTAACAGCAGATGCTTGTCTGTGGTTTATTGTGATCGATAATAATAAATGCGGTTGATCGTAAAGGATTGCGTGTGGTATCAAAAACAAGCTTACACCAAGCTCTTCCTTTTACGACGGAAATCCGGCCTATACTTTTGAATTTTGTCCTCCTTTCTTAGCGAGCCAAGGACAGAGAGGCGACGGGGGAGGGGGGAGGGAGGGGGATATGGTGAGGGTGTTCATGAAAATGCTTATCCATACCTTTAAAGAGTAAAACATTAAATTTGGTATCAAAAAGGTCTGCTGATCTCAGATACGTCGTGTTCACCCGCGGGCAGGCTGTGCGGTTCACTCCTCCTCAACCAGTCAACGTAAACTAGGGAAATATTTGTGATCAAGGACTTTGGAATCATGTTTGAGTCTCGCAGTGGATCTTGTTTCACGCAGGAAATACTTTGATGATCCTTTGTTGTCGATCTTTATTAAGAAGGAAATCCCTTAAAAAAGAAAATACTACTACCACTTCAATTTCCGGTCATGTGGTATGAATGAATGAATGAATGAATGAAT